GCTCTGCAGAAGATCAACACTCGTGAGTCCCACGTTAGCTCAATGCTAAAACAACTTCTCCTACACTGAGATAACTTACATCTGTTAAAATGTATGCAGTACAGTTAGTGACTAACTTACAATACTTGTATAATACATGTAGTCCTGAGCCAGGACAGACTAGCCATGGAGAAGTGATTAGGAAAGACAGAGGATGTTCTCTTATCTCTATAGAGAGCTGCAGGGTGTGGGGTTTCTCTGTTGGACTCTGAAGGCAGCATCTCCCTGGTCCAATGGGATTTCTCAATATGATTTTGGATTATGTCAAACGATCATGTGACCAGTGGGTTTCCCTTTGACATCCTATGCCTGAAGCTGTGTAAGGCAGGGACAGCAAAGGGAGGCCCAGCCGTCACTACCTTCAGCTCTAGAGCAGTGGTTCCCAAACGGTGTGCCGCGGCACACTGGTGTGCCGTGAGGCAAGTCCGGGTGTGCCGTGGGATTTTGTGACAACCATACATTATTATTGCAATATACAACTACACAAAAATAATTATTTTTTAATTTACTATATCAGTACTTTGTAGGTTTATATGTACGTAATCTGCGCGACTTGCGCGTCCACATCTCCACGTGCAGTGCTGCATAAACATGGCTGAGTCAGCGATAACTCTCGAGGGGTGGAGGTATGCCCATTACTTTGAGTTTGTCCGAAGAATAGACAGGAATGTGACGGTGAGGTGCAAACTGTGTCCAGGCCAGAAGCTGTTATCCACTGCTGGAAACACCACGTGGTCAAACCTCAACACACACCTGCAAAGAACACATGCTAAGGTGAAGCTACCGCACACGTTATGTGTTGTTTGTTTATATCACACAGTCTGTTCTTCTTCTCTGTCTTCCGGTTGTTGCCTGTTTTTAATGACAAATACACACTACCGCCGCCTGCTGGTAAGGACAGTTATTGCCACTCACGCATGCGCAGTTCGTACGTGCTCAGCGAGTAAAGTAACGAGTTACTTTATGTAGATAGTAACGAAGTAGTGTAATATATTACTTTTTTTAAAGTAATACATTTATAATTTATAATGTGTAGTTCAGGACCATGCAATGCAGCTTCCTTGCATTGACAGTTCTCTGTGCTGAGTTTCTGCTGAGTGTCCTTTGCCTCATTTGTAATGTTGTGACCTGTCTGGTTTAAATTAGTGTGTTGCTGCTTTGATGAAGCCTAATTTGATAAAGTTTCAAATTAATTTCTGAAATATTTCGTTAATAAATATTTCATGAGTAATATAGTTGTCTTTGTCACATTTTATTTGGCATTAGTAAATAATTATCCACATTTACAGATATTTGACATGATATGAGTGATAACACGTGTTATAAGGGCTATTTTGCACAATAGGTGTGCCTTGAGATTTTTACTTGTCCTTTGGTGTGCCTTGGGCACAAAGAGTTTGGGAACCACTGCTCTATATATATATATGTTCATTGGCTTTGCACTTTGCACACTACCTGAGACAGACAGTTATAGCTCTGAAATCCAGTGTGTTTGGTGTCAGTTTCACATAAGCTGTGTTGGTTTCCTGAGGGAAGGTAAACATTTTACAGGAGAGATCTACAAAAAAATTAAAATAAAGGTTAAATGTTTGTGAAAGTTTTACAATACAGACATACATTATTGCGCACATACTGTAGTGACCTAATAAATGGCCTGTTTGAAAAAAAGGTTTTGTGTGGTAACAACCCCAATGTCCAGTTGAAATATTATAATAGGTTTTTAAGGTTAAAGAGCTTACGAAATGAAGGACAACACTATTCTTATTAGGATAATAAATACTGTTATTAATGGGAAATCATTTGTCATTGATGACAATATGCCCGCTGTATTTATAAATCGTGATTTATTACAACTTTCCATGCTCGCTTCCGATGTTACACGACTGCTCCGGACCAAACGGCTTTCGCCGGTTAGTTACGTCACGCACGTCACGAGTAGAACCCTTTTTGAATAATACACTTACTATATGGCTGATGTCGGACTCTGGCTTGGATATTTCGACATAATCGAGTGACAGTGAGTCGTCAATAGACTCGGTGCACTTTCAAGAAGAGGAGGATTTTATTGAAGAGGATGCTGGTGTGGAGTCTAACGTGGTGGAACCATACCAGTTTGAGCCACAGTATTAAAGTAGCGGTAGAGATACAGACGGGAGCGAAAATGGGGACGATGATCCTGGATTTGGCGGAGATCCGGTGCGGCAACAAAACACAGACTGGTAGGCTATATACATTTGACTTTAATTCATAGAGAATTACTAGTCGTAAATATAATATGCCCACGGCTGTGATTGACAACCTGGACAGCCAGTCAGAAGCTAGAATGCCAACCTAGAGAGCCAATCAGAACCTAGAACGGGCTGCAGGGCTGGCCAGACTATTATATTGTGCATAAAGTTAGATGCATTAGGATGCTAAACTTTTTCATGACGGTTTTGGGTGGACCTCTGACGCGGGCCTCGCTCTCTCCCGGCCCAGCCCCTTCAGTTAATGTATTAGCCTACTTTCAAAAACATAAGATTGACAATTGACAATAGCTCCGTAGTCTGTATTCTATCTATATGGCGCTGGTCTGTAGGCCTATGCAATACAGTGTCAATGTAACTGCTTACATTACATTACATTAAATTGCATTTAGCTGACGCTTTTGTCCAAAGCGACTTACAATAAGTACATTCGACCAGGAAGACACAACCTTGAAGAAAACAGAATCATATAAGTATATCAGGTTTCATAGAGCCAAACATTTCAAGTGCTACTCAACTGGCTTTAGGTAATCCAGTCCTTTATTAGTATAAAAGTGCTTCGTTAATCGTTCTAACGCTCGAAGTGGAGTCGAAAGAGATGAGTTTTCAGTTTGCGCCGGAAGATGTGCAAGCTATCTGCCGTCCTGATGTCAATGGGGAGCTCATTCCACCATCTTGGAGCCAGGATAGCAAACCCACGTGTTTTCGCCGATGGGAACTTGGGTCCCCCTCGCAGCGAGGGCGCAACGAGTCGTTTGGCTGATGCAGAGCGTAGTGCACGCGCTGGGGTGTACGGTTTAACCATGTCCTGGATGTAGGAAGGGCCAGATCCATTCGCAGCACGGTAAGCAAGTACCAGTGTCTTGAAGTGGATTCTAGCAGTTACCGGAAGCCAGTGAAGGGAGCGGAGGAGCGGAGTGGTGTGGGAGAATTTAGGAAGGTTGAAAACCAGACGAGCCGCTGCATTCTGGATGAGCTGCAGAGGTCGAATGGCACATGCAGGTAGACCAGCCAGGAGGGAGTTGCAGTAGTCTAGGCGTGAGATGACGAGAGCCTGGACCAGAACCTGAGTCGCTTTCTGAGTCAGCTGGGGACGTATCTTCCTGATGTTGTAAAGCGTGTATCTGCAGCAGCGGGTTGTAGCAGCGATGTTTGCAGTGAAGGACAGGTTGTTATCTAGGGTCACACCCAGATTCCTTGCAGTCTGAGTCGGGGAAACAACTGAGGTGCCGATGTTGATTGTTAGGTCAAAAGTGGGACAATCTTTTCCCGGGAGGAAGAGCAGCTCAGTCTTGTTAAGGTTGAGCTTGAGGTGGTGAGCAGACATCCACTGAGAGATGTCCGCTAGACAAGCAGAGATGCGTGCGACGACCTGGGTCTCTGAGCGGGGGAAGGACAGAATTAATTCGGTGTCGTCAGCGTAGCAGTGGTAAGAAAAACCATGCGGGCTAATGACTGATCCGAGCGAGTTTGTGTACAGGGAGAAGAGGAGGGGACCAAGAACAGAGCCCTGAGGGACCCCCGTAGTTAATTGGTACGGTCTTTGAGGTATGAGGTGAGGAGGGAAAGTGCAGAGCCTGAAACTCCAAGTTTTTGGAGAGTGCGAAGGAGGATCTGATGATTCACCGTGTCGAATGCAGCAGACAGGTCCAACAGGATGATGACAGAGGAGAGGGATGCAGTTTTGGCAGTGTGCAGTTCCTCTGTGACAGCAATGAGAGCAGTTTATGTGGAGTGACCTGCCTTGAAACCAGACTGGTGCGGATCCAGAAGGTTGTTCTGATTGAGATAACAGGAGAGTTGTTTAAAGACAGCGCGTTCAAGTAATTTAGACAGGAACGGGAGGAGAGAGACAGGCCTGTAGTTTATAACATCAGACGGGTTGAGAGTGGGTTTCTTTAGGAGAGGGTTTACTCTTGCCTCCTTGAGACTGTTTGGAAAGTGACCAGAAGTTAGAGAAGTGTTGATGAAATGGGTGAGAAACGGTAGAATATCAGGAGCGATAGTCTGAAGGAGGTTTGAAGGGATAGGGTCCAGAGGACAGGTGGTAGGGCGGGCAGAGGTAATGAGGGTAAGAACCTCACTTGGAGAGAGAGGGGAAAAGGAGGTTAGTGTGTTGGTGGAAGGAAGGTCTGGTGACCCAGCGGTGAGTAAAGGTGAGTCAGAAAAAGAAGAGCGAATATCATCAACCTTTTTTTCAAAGTGGGTAACAAAGTCGCTTGACAGAAGGGAGGAGGGGGGAGGAGCTTTTGGAGGGTCCAAGAGGGTGGAGAAGATGGAGAATAGTTTTTTAGGATTGGAATAGGAAGATTGGATCTTATCTTGAAAGAAAGTGCTTTTTGCCTGAGAGATGGAAGCAGAGAAAGAGGAGAGGAGAGCTTGATAGGTTAGGAGGTCGTCACGGTGTTTGGATTTCCACCATTTCCGCTCTGCTGCCCGAAGGACGGTTCTATTAGCACGCAGTGCATCATTTAGCCAGGGAGCAGGAGGGGACTGACGAGCCTGCCGAGATGTGAGAGGACAGAGAGAGTCCAGAGAGGATGAGAGAGTAGAGAGGATTGTTTATATATCACACATTAACATTATATATCATACATTAACATTATATATCATTATATATCACACATTAACATTATATATCATACATTATCATTATATATCATATGATATACATATAGGTATTATAAAACATGATATATCATATTAAGACACTTAATGTTCCAGTACATCCGGGTGTCGTACGACTCGAAGGCGGACTCGCTGCTGCACCTGATGGTGAAGGACTGGGAGCTGGAGCTCCCCACCCTCCTCATCTCCGTTCACGGGGGCCTGCAGAACTTCGAGCTGCCCCCAAAACTGAAACAGGTTTTTGGGAAAGGCCTGATCAAAGCGGCGGTGACCACTGGAGCTTGGATCTTCACCGGGGGGGTCAGCACGGGTAACAAAGCGCTCCTCACTTCTATTGCCTCTAAAGGTGCAGGGTTAGAGGGAGGGGTTTGAAATGTTGGTTCATACGGTCCTGCAGCTAACAGGATGTCCGGGGTTCTCCTTAGAGAGCTTCAGGGATTCAGTTTGGTACAGGCTCGGTTCAGACCCAGGTGCTGTTCGGTGGGATGCAAATAGGGGGGGTGCACACTTTACTCTGAGAATAATGCAAACATAAAATCAGTTTAATTGATGCGTCACATGTTTTGTGAAGTGCTGTATCTGCTGCATGAACTGATCACCTGCATCAGATCCTGCACTGAAACCAGGACCCAGACCCCAATCTGAGGACATTTCTACATCTGAATGTTCATATATTTCAGCTCTCTTTTACATATTTCAGTCTAACGTTGTGATGGCCAGAAATAAATAGAATCCTCTCCGGGTGAAGGTACAGTTGAGATTACCTTTATAAACTCTTCATGAACTCCCAGCTGATCTGTTTTTCAGGAGTGATCCGTCACGTGGGGGATGCTCTCAAAGACCACTCGTCAAAGTCCAGAGGGAAGGTCTGCGCCATCGGCATCGCCCCGTGGGGAATCATCGAGAACAAGGAGGACCTCATCGGGAGAGACGTGAGATCATATCAACACGCCGACATTTAGAAATACACAATACCACACGGCAGGATGATACCATACCATAGTACTTTACCGTCAGATCTAGACTGAAGTTTTCCTGGCAGCTTAAGATAGATAGATAGATAGATAGAGCCACCATCCCATTTAGGAAAAGCGCATTCATCCAGGCTGTCTTTTCATTCCACGCATCCCATCAATGGAATTCAATACCACAACCAATAAGAGAATCCTCATCCTACTACTCATTCAAGCACAGTATTCAAAAGTGGCTCATTAATAATCAACAGTGTCAGCACTGATGTGTGGGTGTAGGTGTGTGTCTGAGTGTGTATGTGAATGTTTTATTTATTATCATGATTGCTCTTATCTGTATTCAGTGATGTCATCTATTGTAAATGTGTAAAATGGTATAACAATGTCGTGGTATTTTCATCATTGCTTTTAGGATGTCTATCACCATCTGGCAAAGGGACTATCGGTGAAAACTAGCCTTTGGCTAATTCGAGTACTTTTACATGTTGTTAATATGTTGATTAATGTACACTGTCCCTTGTTTTGTTGCACTTATATACTAATAAAGGGCTGGCTTATCTGAAGCCAGTTGAGTAGCACTTAAAATGTTTTAGCTCTATGAAACCTGATGTACTTTATGATTCTGTTTTCTTCAAGTTTGTATCTTGTTGGTCGAACGCACTTAACCCTAACCCTATTATATATTTATCCAAAGCGACGCACACACCCTTCAGTACAAAAGACTCAATGCCAACAGGAGCAGGGCGGGGGGAGGTTCAGTATCCTGTCCAAAGACACTTGTTGACTGGAGTCAAACCACTGACGCTCTGATTGGTCCATCAGATCTATTTTACTTCCTGATTACATTTTACGTTAGGAATATTCTCTGTTGCACTGTTGCAGGCAACATTAGCTGCTACACAGACCTCACTAAAGCCTTTGAATCTTGAATACAGCGCATCAGTGAATCTCCGGTATCTGTGCACGCTACAGAAAGCTCTGCTGGTTCTTCACTCTGAACCCTTTTTGCAGGTGACCCGGCCCTATACGACCATGTCCAACCCGCTCAGCAAGCTGTCGGTTCTGAACAGTAGCCACTCCCACTTCCTCCTGGCTGACAACGGGACGCACGGGAAGTACGGCGCCGAGGTGCGCCTCCGCCGGCAGCTGGAGAAACACATCGCTCTGCAGAAGATCAACACTCGTGAGTCCCACGTTAGCTCAATGCTAAAACAACTTCTCCTACACTGAGATAACTTACATCTGTTAAAATGTATGCAGTACAGTTAGTGACTAACTTACAATACTTGTATAATACATGTAGTCCTGAGCCAGGACAGACTAGCCATGGAGAAGTGATTAGGAAAGACAGAGGATGTTCTCTTATCTCTATAGAGAGCTGCAGGGTGTGGGGTTTCTCTGTTGGACTCTGAAGGCAGCATCTCCCTGGTCCAATGGGATTTCTCAATATGATTTTGGATTATGTCAAACGATCATGTGACCAGTGGGTTTCCCTTTGACATCCTATGCCTGAAGCTGTGTAAGGCAGGGACAGCAAAGGGAGGCCCAGCCGTCACTACCTTCAGCTCTAGAGCAGTGGTTCCCAAACGGTGTGCCGCGGCACACTGGTGTGCCGTGAGGCAAGTCCGGGTGTGCCGTGGGATTTTGTGACAACCATACATTATTATTGCAATATACAACTACACAAAAATAATTATTTTTTAATTTACTATATCAGTACTTTGTAGGTTTATATGTACGTAATCTGCGCGACTTGCGCGTCCACATCTCCACGTGCAGTGCTGCATAAACATGGCTGAGTCAGCGATAACTCTCGAGGGGTGAAGGTATGCCCATTACTTTGAGTTTGTCCGAAGAATAGACAGGAATGTGACGGTGAGGTGCAAACTGTGTCCAGGCCAGAAGCTGTTATCCACTGCTGGAAACACCACGTGGTCAAACCTCAACACACACCTGCAAAGAACACATGCTAAGGTGAAGCTACCGCACACGTTATGTGTTGTTTGTTTATATCACGCAGTCTGTTCTTCTTCTCTGTCTTCCGGTTGTTGCCTGTTTTTAATGACAAATACACACTACCGCCGCCTGCTGGTAAGGACAGTTATTGCCACTCACGCATGCGCAGTTCGTACATGCTCAGCGAGTAAAGTAACGAGTTACTTTATGTAGATAGTAACGAAGTAGTGTAATATATTGCTTTTTTTAAAGTAATACATTTATAATTTATAATGTGTAGTTCAGGACCATGCAATGCAGCTTCCTTGCATTGACAGTTCTCTGTGCTGAGTTTCTGCTGAGTGTCCTTTGCCTCATTTGTAATGTTGTGACCTGTCTGGTTTAAATTAGTGTGTTGCTGCTTTGATGAAGCCTAATTTGATAAAGTTTCAAATTAATTTCTGAAATATTTCGTTAATAAATATTTCATGAGTAATATAGTTGTCTTTGTCACATTTTATTTGGCATTAGTAAATAATTATCCACATTTACAGATATTTGACATGATATGAGTGATAACACGTGTTATAAGGGCTATTTTGCACAATAGGTGTGCCTTGAGATTTTTACTTGTCCTTTGGTGTGCCTTGGGCACAAAGAGTTTGGGAACCACTGCTCTATATATATATATGTTCATTGGCTTTGCACTTTGCACACTACCTGAGACAGACAGTTATAGCTCTGAAATCCAGTGTGTTTGGTGTCAGTTTCACATAAGCTGTGTTGGTTTCCTGAGGGAAGGTAAACATTTTACCGGAGAGATCTACAAAAAAATAAAAATAAAGGTTAAATGTTTGTGAAAGTTTTACAATACAGACATACATTATTGCGCACATACTGTAGTGACCTAATAAATGGCCTGTTTGAAAAAAAGGTTTTGTGTGGTAACAACCCCAATGTCCAGTTGAAATATTATAATAGGTTTTTAAGGTTAAAGAGCTTACGAAATGAAGGACAACACTATTCTTATTAGGATAATAAATACTGTTATTAATGGGAAATCATTTGTCATTGATGACAATATGCCCGCTGTATTTATAAATCGTGATTTATTACAACTTTCCATGCTCGCTTCCGATGTTACACGACCGCTCCGGACCAAACGGCTTTCGCCGGTTAGTTACGTCACGCACGTCACGAGTAGAACCCTTTTTGAATAATACACTTACTATATGGCTGATGTCGGACTCTGGCTTGGATATTTCGACAGAATCGAGTGACAGTGAGTCGTCAATAGACTCGGTGCACTTTCAAGAAGAGGAGGATTTTATTGAAGAGGATGCTGGTGTGGAGTCTAACGTGGTGGAACCATACCAGTTTGAGCCACAGTATTAAAGTAGCGGTAGAGATACAGACGGGAGCGAAAATGGGGACGATGATCCTGGATTTGGCGGAGATCCGGTGCGGCAACAAAACACAGACTGGTAGGCTATATACATTTGACTTTAATTCATAGAGAATTACTAGTCGTAAATATAATATGCCCACGGCTGTGATTGACAACCTGGACAGCCAGTCAGAAGCTAGAATGCCAACCTAGAGAGCCAATCAGAACCTAGAACGGGCTGCAGGGCTGGCCAGACTATTATATTGTGCATAAAGTTAGATGCATTAGGATGCTAAACTTTTTCATGACGGTTTTGGGTGGACCTCTGACGCGGGCCTCGCTCTCTCCCGGCCCAGCCCCTTCAGTTAATGTATTAGCCTACTTTCAAAAACATAAGATTGACAATTGACAATAGCTCCGTAGTCTGTATTCTATCTATATGGCGCTGGTCTGTAGGCCTATGCAATACAGTGTCAATGTAACTGCTTACATTACATTACATTACATTGCATTTAGCTGACGCTTTTGTCCAAAGCGACTTACAATAAGTACATTCGACCAGGAAGACACAACCTTGAAGAAAACAGAATCATATAAGTATATCAGGTTTCATAGAGCCAAACATTTCAAGTGCTACTCAACTGGCTTTAGGTAATCCAGTCCTTTATTAGTATAAAAGTGCTTCGTTAATCGTTCTAACGCTCGAAGTGGAGTCGAAAGAGATGAGTTTTCAGTTTGCGCCGGAAGATGTGCAAGCTATCTGCCGTCCTGATGTCAATGGGGAGCTCATTCCACCATCTTGGAGCCAGGATAGCAAACCCACGTGTTTTCGCCGATGGGAACTTGGGTCCCCCTCGCAGCGAGGGCGCAACGAGTCGTTTGGCTGATGCAGAGCGTAGTGCACGCGCTGGGGTGTACGGTTTAACCATGTCCTGGATGTAGGAAGGGCCAGATCCATTCGCAGCACGGTAAGCAAGTACCAGTGTCTTGAAGTGGATTCTAGCAGTTACCGGAAGCCAGTGAAGGGAGCGGAGGAGCGGAGTGGTGTGGGAGAATTTAGGAAGGTTGAAAACCAGACGAGCCGCTGCATTCTGGATGAGCTGCAGAGGTCGAATGGCACATGCAGGTAGACCAGCCAGGAGGGAGTTGCAGTAGTCTAGGCGTGAGATGACGAGAGCCTGGACCAGAACCTGAGTCGCTTTCTGAGTCAGCTGGGGACGTATCTTCCTGATGTTGTAAAGCGTGTATCTGCAGCAGCGGGTTGTAGCAGCGATGTTTGCAGTGAAGGACAGGTTGTTATCTAGGGTCACACCCAGATTCCTTGCAGTCTGAGTCGGGGAAACAACTGAGGTGCCGATGTTGATTGTCAGGTCAAGAGTTGGACAATCTTTTCCCGGGAGGAAGAGCAGCTCAGTCTTGTCAAGGTTGAGCTTGAGGTGGTGAGCAGACATCCACTGAGAGATGTCAGCTAGACAAGCAGAGATGCGTGCGACGACCTGGGTCTCTGAGCGGGGAAAGGACAGAATTAATTGGGTGTCGTCAGCGTAGCAGTGGTAAGAAAAACCATGCGGGCTAATGACTGATCCGAGCAAGTTTGTGTACAAGGAGAAGAGGAGGGGACCAAGAACAGAGCCCTGAGGGACCCCCGTAGTTAATTGACAAGGGTCGGACTCAGACCCTCTCCAAGTCACCCTGTAGGTGCGGTCTTTGAGGTATGAGGTGAGGAGGGAAAGTGCAGAGCCTGAAACTCCAAGTTTTTGGAGAGTGCGAAGGAGGATCTGATGATTCACCGTGTCGAATGCAGCAGACAGGTCCAACAGGATGATGACAGAGGAGAGGGATGCAGTTTTGGCAGTGTGCAGTTCCTCAGTGACAGCAATGAGAGCAGTTTCTGTGGAGTGACCTGCCTTGAAACCAGACTGGTGCGGATCCAGAAGGTTGTTCTGATTGAGATAACAGGAGAGTTGTTTAAAGACAGCGCGTTCAAGTGATTTAGACAGGAACGGGAGGAGAGAGACAGGCCTGTAGTTTATAACATCAGACGGGTTGAGAGTGGGTTTCTTTAGGAGAGGGTTTACTCTTGCCTCCTTGAGACTGTTTGGAAAGTGACCAGAAGTTAGAGAAGTGTTGATGAAATGGGTGAGAAACGGTAGAATATCAGGAGCGATAGTCTGAAGGAGGTTTGAAGGGATAGGGTCCAGAGGACAGGTGGTAGGGGCGGGCAGAGGTAATGAGGGTAAGAACCTCACTTGGAGAGAGAGGGGAAAAGGAGGTAAGTGTGTTGGTGGAAGGAGGGTCTGGTGACCCAGCGGTGAGTAAAGGTGAGTCAGAAAAAGAAGAGCGAATATCATTAACCTTTTTTTCAAAGTGGGTAACAAAGTCGCTTGACAGAAGTGAGGAGGGGGGAGGAGCTTTTGGAGGGTCCAAGAGGGTGGAGAAGATGGAAAATAGTTTTTTAGGATTGGAATAGGAAGATTGGATCTTATCTTGAAAGAAAGTGATTTTTGCCTGAGAGATCGAAGCAGAGAAAGAGGAGAGGAGAGCTTGATAGGTTAGGAGGTCGTCACGGTGTTTGGATTTCCACCATTTCCGCTCTGCTGCCCTAAGGACGGTTCTATTAGCATGCAGTGCATCATTTAGCCAGGGAGCCGGAGGGGACTGACGAGCCTGCCGAGATGTCAGAGGACAGAGCGAGTCCAGAGTGGATGAGAGAGTAGAGAGGAGAGTTTCTGCAGCAGAGTTTGGAGGCAGTAGTTGGAACGAATCAGAGGAAGGGAGGGCTGAGAGCACCGACGAGGCAAAGGTAGAGGGAGAGAGGGAGCGAAGGTTACGGCGGACAAGTGTAGGATGGGAAGAGATTAGTTTGTTATGTTTGGAAAGGGATAGAGAGAATGAAATGAAGAAGTGATCGGATGTGTGGAGCGGGTTTACAGAGAGGTTAGAAGTAGCGCAGTTCCTTGAGAATATGAGATCAAGGACATTGCCAGCTTTATGAGTCGGTGGGGACGGAGACAGTGAGAAAGCAAAGGCGGTTAACAGAGATGTTAGTTCGTCTATCTTCCCCGTCTGGAGGTTGAAGTCTCTGAGAAGTACAGCGGGAGGGCCAGTTTCAGGGATGTGTGAGAGGAGATGATCTAATTCCTCCAAGAAGTCCCCCAAGGCGCCTGGTGGACGGTAGAGAACAACAATGGTTAACTGTATAGGATGGGTTACTGTGACGGCATGGAACTCAAAGGTGGAAGGAGTAAAGTTAGGTAGCTTGAAGAGGGAAAAGCTCCATTTGGGAGAGAGCAGGAGACCAGTGCCACCTCCTCTGCCAGTGGGTCTGGGTGTATGGGAGAAGGAATATGCAGTGGAGAGAGCTGCTGGGGTGGATGTGTTGGATGGAGTAATCCAGGTCTCAGTGAGAGCAAGGAAATCCAGAGACTGCAGGGAGGTGTAGCCAGAGATGAAGTCAGCCTTAGGAACAGCTGACTGGCAGTTCCACAGGCCACCTGAAACTAGATGTTGGATCTCAGTGGAGCACGTGGGATAGACGATAGCAGGCCGGTTATATCGATTACGAGATACACGGGGCCAGTGATAATTGCGAGAAGACACATGAACAGGAATGGAGAAAATACACATGATTATAGCATGAGGGGCTAAACAACAAAATTAAAAATTAAAAACACCAACGATACTTAGCTCAATCAAAGTAGGATTTGCCTCCTCTTTGCCTCCCTCGTGACTCCTGTAGGACTCTAATGTCTTTGTCAGTCTTACTCCTGTAGGACTCTAATGTCTTTGTCAGTCTTAGCCTGTCTGCCGCTGAAGCTGACGCTCCAGGAAAGAGCTACCCGAAATGGACGCCTGATTGCTCAGTTCTCACAGCTGAAGTTAATTAGTTAACTATCTACAGCTGATGGGCGACAATAGACTGGCCCTGCCTATGTTAATAATGCAGGCTTGAGTGCTGAGAGCTGTAAAGCAGGTTTCGCCTGAGCAGATCTGAGATTTAAAATCTCTCAAAAGCGATTTAGCCGTTTTAGCTACAGTAACAATTATACAGAGTCGAATAAATGAAACCGAGAAGTCTAATTAAACAAGAATATAACTTACAGTGGTTGCTGCGTCAATAGGTAATGTTGTCACCGGGTCCAGATGCACACTGAGTTCATCAGTTTCTAAATGCGGTATTTAAATGCTTTTTGAGCTAAAGGATGACTGAGTCACGCGGTTCTACTTCACGCAATCAATAGACTGGCCCTGCCTATGTTAATAATGCAGGCTTGAGTGCTGAGAGCTGTAAAGCAGGTTTCGCCTGAGCAGATCTGAGATTTAAAATCTCTCAAAAGCGATTTAGCCGTTTAAGCTACAGTAACAATTATACAGAGTCGAATAAATGAAACCGAGAAGTCTAATTAAACAAGAATATAACTTACAGTGGTTGCTGCGTCAATAGGTAATGTTGTCACCGGGTCCAGATGTACACGCTTACTGTGAAGAACGTGAATACACGGAGGTTCTTCCCACGGCACCCGAAGCCCCGTTTTCATCCTTTTCCCCCGTGAAATGTCTGGGCAGCTGGTCATCGGCTGACAACAAACCAAGTCAGAAACTTTTTTTTTACATGTCATTTTGAGTCAGGCTTTATGCTTGTAAACATTGAACAACAAGTAGCGCGGCTTACCTTCGCTCTCTCCCTTTTGGAGAATGCATTTCGCCGTCTCTTTAGTGGAGGACTCTGCATCGGGGGACATGTAGGAATCGGCGTGGTGGCTTGTGCTGGCATTTGGGGTCTTGGCAGTATTGTTGGAACAGCATCTTTGTTCAGTTTGAAATTATTTTTTAATCCAATTTCCTTAGCGAGCATTGTGGACTGGTCGAAACACGATCTTTCAAAGTGCTGCCCACAAATTGTAGGTTTCATCGACCCCGGGTTACCTGGTTATATGATGAATTGGAAATGGTTGGACCCTGATGTAAACAAGACGAAAGTCTTTCTCTGGTCTGCATCCCCTTAACA